AGGCTGCATTTGTTCACAACTAGGAAAGACTACAGAAATTGTCAACAATTTCTTCTATCTATTGCTTTTTTTGCACTTTTTTGACCATAAGCTCCTATCTACTTAAGTTTTTTTTAATGCTCTTAAGCTAGGTTTTTGCAATGTGACAAGCAAAGCAGACTAAAAACTTCTTAAAGCTCATAAAAAAGACTGCAGATAAAAAGCACTAATGCTTTTGCTAGCGATCACGCTTTGTAAATAAAAAAATCTGCATTCTGCAAGAAAAAAACCCTGCATTCTCTATAATGCAGCAAGTTTTTTTCTCAATTCAATAACTTTACTGTAAAATGCTTTAGCCTTCTAGATTTTTTTTCTGTCAACACTTAAGACAAAGTTCATAAAAGTCCCAGCATTTTTCCAATCCTTTCAGTTGCCACAGTTCCTTTATCATCAATTTTTCTTCAAAAGAAGAAAATCATTTTCTTTTAAACTGTACAGTTTATTTTTTGTTCACCCCAAAAACTCAGTCTATTAAACTTCTGCACCAGCACCGGTGTGAGCAGTTTCAATTCATTCTCGGGTTTTCTAACAAGACGTTGACAGCTTGCCTTGAGAGCCTTTGACGTCCTTAAAATTAAGGCAATTAAGATTCAAGATAAACCTTACCTAAACATTTCTTTAAAAAAAAAAAAAATCAAAAAAACACAAAAAACACTCTAGATTTAAAACAAGAAGAAAAATAAAATGAGAGAAAAAGAGTAGCTTAATTTTTGAGGAAGACAATTGGTTTTCATCGCAACTTGCTCCCTCTTGACATCATCAGTTTTTCTGTTAAAAAAAAAAAAATCTAGCTACACCTCCAGGTAAATTCTGAATTCAAATGTTCGTCCAGATGAAATGTCAACCCAGTGTTTTTCCTCTGGGTTTTTCCTTTAGTTAAAAAAAAAAAATATAGCAAAAATAAAATTGTCAGACTACATGACGGAACCATTTGCACAGCACATAAAAACACTGTTTTGTTTTCGTTGGGAAAGGTAGAAAAAAAAAGCATTCATTTGACGCCTGTGCAAACTGGAAGCCAACTTCTTGTTCAGTGAAGTTTCTCCATTCAAGGCAAAGATTTCAGACCGACATTCTTCAGTCCTGTTTATTGTCTGTAAAAACAATTGAATTAAAGTGGTCATTAAGTCAAAACAACTTTGAAATAGGCTCCTCTCCTTTTTTTTGCACCCAATTCCCTTTAAAAGTTATCCAAGCTAAACTAAATTTGCAGCTGTTTAAATATGATACCACCACTAAGCTGAAAATAGTCAGGCAGAAATAGGGAACTCCTGCTTTTGGGATGTTAACACATCCTAAGCAGATGAATTTAACTCTTGTTAATGCTATGCTTAATGGGCAGTCTACCTACACTGAAATGAGATGAATACGTGGCTTAACACTGTGTAAATATTTCAAGAGTAATACCATAAGAGAGCGAATATTTTCATAATAATAAGTGGCACTCTTTATTTTGGATACTAATAATAAAACTAAGGATAAAATTGCAATAAAAGGATACATCCAATTTGCTAAAACCAACACATTTTCTGATGGCAAGAACAGTTAGACTGTGGAGCAGTCTGCTTAATGAGCCAGTTATGGCTAACTTAGTAGAAACATTCAAGATAATATTAATTAGAAAAATATAATTTTTGATCATATAGTGTCAAATCTTTTTACATTTAGCACAGAGAATAAGCTAAACTATCAACCTTTTTCTTAGAGAAGATAACTCTCATTTTGTATTTTTGACGTTTCATGTCATTTAAAGATATGTCACATCAAACTTACCTTAGCAAGACTATATGAGATCTTTGGGGAGATGCAGAACCTACATAAAAACGCTGTTTTCATGTCTAGGGCTATCAGTAAGGGTTAGCTATTGCTTTTCCTACAGTCCTCAAAACTTGCATGGAAAAAATCCTTTTCCAGATGAAGTTCAACACAAGAATATCCAGCACCTTTCCTTTTGCAAGCATTAACGCATGTGCCTTGCTTAGTTTAAAATTAATTTTAATATTAGGAGTTAAATTGTGAAGAATGTTGATGACATAACATTTGCCACAGAACTATTTCTCTGGATGGTAAACATAAAACTAACTGCAATTTTAAGTATTAAATTTACCAAACGACTTTTTCATTGCATGAAGCCTGAAAATTAATATTTTGAATGTAACAACAGATTTATGTGGAAAGCAAGAATTAATTATTTTCTTAGGGTTTTCTATGCATAACTTCTGGTAGGAGTACTCAAAGCTGAATGCTCACCTTGTTCAGTTTTACTGCCCCTCTGGCTCGAGTGGCCACCATATGTATGAAAGACCAATTCCACTGAAGGGTCACAGCACACACTCTCTAATCTAACCTGGCATTGACTTTGCCCACAAAAGGCTCCAGAAAAATGTAATTCTTTCCACATTTAAAATCAGAGTATGTTGTCCAGCAGAGTTTTGCTTAGAGGTAACAGACTACACTTTTCAGGGGGAAGGATCTCCATTTATCTGCACTTCATAAAATTCACACTTTTATGTGCAAAATTAAAGATTTACAAGGAAAAAAGGGAGTTTGGGTCTAAAATAATTAAGGTGATTTCCTCGTAGAGTTGAGTCCTCTGCTCAGAAACCAAGGGCTGTTTCTCCTATATTGCTACACAATAGGTAGCCAGGTTTTGACATGAAGTTATCATTTCTGAACATCTAGAGGTGGGATCCTCAAGTACAGCAGCCAGAATATTAAATAAAGAACATGTATGCTGATTTAAAAAGTGGAACTCAAATTTTAAGTCTTGTGGTTTATTTTTACTTACAAAGAGAGTACAGTCCTTATACCACCCAGTTCATTCTGAGTACATTGCCTCTCCTTTGTTGCCTGCAATTTCATGACTGTTGCAAGGAAAAGAAATATAATGAAATATACTCTTATAACTTTTCTCCTGACTGGTCAGCTCCTATGAAATAATTTTATAGTGTCTGCCTTTGCCTATATCTGACAAAATCATTGTCTGGTCATGTTAATTACTTCCTCTCATCTCGCTTTGAAAACAGCTGTTGTATATTGGGCATGATGCTTGCTATTAATAAATAAGCCCTTTGAAGAGCAGATTAATAAAACTATATTTTAATTACAAAATAACTTCACTTGGTTTTATATTAAAGGTTACTGAGATATTCCGGCAGAAGTTCTCTTTTTAAGACAGAGATTGTGTATATTTTGGTTTGTATCTACAGCTTCCCACACTTTGCATTTCTGTCCACAACTGGCAGATATAAATAGAGGGCACATTTCAGAAAAAAATACTGAAACTAATCATAATAAAAAATCCGTAGTGGATCTGCCAGTGTGATTAAAAAAGAAAGAAATTCCTCTCAATATAAATGCCAGTGCCATTAGAAGTGTATCCATCATTGCAAAAAGGCAGTAGCTGACAAGGAAAGATGAGGGATCTCATTCTCAGAGAAGGTAGGAATTCACCACACTGGCAAGAAACACCACCAATTTCAATAAAGAATTGCAATGTAGTTTCCTCCTATGGGGGAAAAATGCCAGAATCCGCTGATCACAGCTACTTTATGAGTGTTTCTGAGCCTAAGTCCTTCTGCTTTGAGACTTAAGCAAAAGGGAACTGGAACACAGGAATGGTCAGATCAAACCCCTACAGAACAGAGTCATCAAAACAGGCCAACAGGATGGGATGGTCACATATATTTCTCTCTTTGCCCATTATATTCTGTAAGTATTTTGCCATCATTTATTTACAGGTGCTAGAGAAACTGATACCTAGAAGGGATACACATGCATAGACTGTGGCTCCAGTTGGGTGCATCAACAAAAAGCTTGTGATCAATTGCTTTTGTAATATGTACATATAGACAAATATTGGCATGATGTAATAAATAGTGAGGTCTTACGTTTTATGGCGGTCAAAAAGGGACATTGTGTGATCTGAAACCATTTGTTACTCATATGTTAGACAAATAAATGCATCTTCCACTTCCAGAGGTCAAAGATGAAGTATAGTAATTGACAGATTGGTATAATTCTAATCTTTCCTATACCAGCACATATCTTATGCCTCTATAACTACTATGTCATCATGCATTGACTGACATATCTAACATATTTCTTGTCTGGCTATTTGTCTGCTTCCGTCCCCAAGATAAAAAATGTGTAATTCTCTTTTCACAGTGACGTGGGTGTTCAATATACGTGTATTAATAAAGCATTATGTTTGGGCTCCTTCCTAGAATCTGTCCAACATTGATCAGTCCCAATGAGTACCCTGTCACTAAGTAACTTTCCCTTTGTGAGGACTAGTTTTAATGTCGCAGAGAGGAATGTTTTGAGGACTACTGTGAAGATGAAGGGACTCTTTAGGAGTTCTAGATCCAGCTGTCAGTGTATAAATATTGAATTTTCCAAGGTATTCCATAGGAAGCAAAGAAAGGGAGCAGAGGACAGGGGAAAGACAGAGCAGTGTTTCTCTCCATCCCTTTCTTATCCCTTCTTCCATTTCCAGTTCTTGCCCACTCAGTGTCTGCACAGCACCAGTTTTACATAGTTACAAATACCAACTTGGGGCAATTTATAGTGCTTCATTAGCTACACTTTCAGAAAGAAGCCTTTACATGTGTACTGTGCCAATACTTTCACCGCTGCAAAATTTAAGCCCTCTTTTTAACCTCTGATGCCAGATGCTGCTTTAGCCTAGTGTGATGATTGTTAACACAGGTGTTGAGATCCTTCTGAGTCCACAAAAGCAGCAGACAGTTAGAGATCATATCTTTGCAGGCATGAACTCAAGGACATTTTGCAAAGGTGAGGCCATCAGCCAAAACCTTTTGCTAATTACACTGCTATATATCCAGAATTCATCTGAACTTAATGAAGCTACTCAGAATTCATATTGCTGAAATGGGGAGTAGAATTTGGCCCGCTATAATCAAGAAACAAAATCTTCTGGTTACAAAATGTACGCCTACTTACTTAGACTGTTGGTAAGAATATGCAGGCGCGTGTTCACTGGATGTTTCCACTGTCATCTGTTGCTGTTGACCACTGGCTTCCTGTGATGAAGATGCTACTGTCTGTGGAGAAGTATCAGCAACAACACCCTAGGGAATCAAATGAGAACATGAAAAAATTACTAATTTTACTCACCGCAGTGAATTACATAAAAGAGCTCAGCACCAGCTCACCATTCCTGTATTTCTCTAAAGGTCAAGAGAGTTTGAGACAGCAGAACCACATGCTAACACAACAAACTCCATCAGTTTTAGAGAGCTAATCCAGCAACAAGAAGCTTCCTTAGCATACCAGCTCCTGTAGTACTTTGCTCTCACAAGCTGCAGTGGAAAACACCTCCACCTTTGAGGGCAGTTCCCTGCCCATTCAAAGCCAGAGGCAAAACTTCTGACTTCAGTGGAGTCTGGATTTTACCTTTTGTCTTTTTTACAACATACGTATGGCTCTTCTGATTTTCACTTACCTACCCCAACTTCACAGCGAGTTCACACTTATTTTGTTTGATTTGCAATGTGATAAAGGCAGAATCTAGGCCCACTGCTCTCTGGTTTAGCACACATTCAACAGAATTTTAGCTGCCTCAGAAAAATACTGTACTCCTCTACACACTGCTTCCCTTCAAAAATAAATTTACTTCACACTAAAGACTTTTATCTTTTAAGTCAAAGCTCCAATGAAGTTTTATTTATATGTTTGCAAAAAAGATAACACAGAAAAGATATGTATGAATTTAACATTATGCACTATTTCTTATCCTATTTAGACAGGCTGAATAATATTATTTTTAAGTGCTCTTGTACGCTTTCAAAGCAAGCTTTATTTTCTTTCCTTTACTTTCATGCTTGGTGTGTTGGTCACATGAGTAACACTAGCAGGTCTCTTCAGGGAACATGCTTTACTACTGTATTGCACACAACAGAGCCAGAAGAGGGAGCACAAAGCACTTGCTTTGTTTTTATTTGAGTCCTGTGTAAACAACAGGTAGTTTATTTGAAATTATCTGTTAAAAGTACCAGTTTCATTTTTCAGAAATGCTTCATATCTATTGCTTAACAGAGTGTCAGTATTATCTTTTTTTGTCTACTTCCTTATCTTTTTCCTTCTGCTTTTGTCCATCTAGTCTTGAGATTTTAAGCTCTCTGGGGCAGAGACTGTGTTTTTTGATCTCTGCTTGTGAAGCATCTAGCATAGTAGAGTCCTGGTTCATGATGCTACATGAATACAGATAAACATTAACAATAATCATCATCACTGGATCGGAGCAAGACAGGCTATATATTCAGATAATATTTTGATTATTCTAGTAGATAATTATGGCATCATGTCACTTTAGCAGGCATGAATATACCAGTGGGTGATGGGGAGGAGGGCTCAGGAAGAATTAACTGCATTTCTTATTCACACTGGTCAGCACAGTATGCAGCCAGTAGTGCTGTATGAGCCACCCTCCATCCCACCATCTCCTTTTAATTCAGATTTGTATCTGCCCAGTTTAATACCTAAGAATGGCAATTGAATAGAGGGACCCATGGCCCGTTTGTAAACAAACAAGGTTTAGGGCAAAATTATCACGAGGCAAAAAAAGACTAAAACATGACCAGCTCAGTATGACAGAACAGTACCAGCCTTTCCTGTGGGACCTCATTTGGGAATCTCAGTAATTGCAAAGAACTGGCAGAACCAGGAAAACTTGACTGCTGGTGGAGCCATGCCAACAGTACCTCTAACTCAGCATCCTCAAAGCACAGAGTAGTAATAGCACAAACTCCAAAGTCCACATAGCCGAAGACAGAAGTACAGAGACCCTGGCACTCCTCACATTACCCCAGTTAGGGGAGAAGTTATTAATAAAAGAGGGTAGCACCAAAGAGAAGCACACAGGTAAGAGGATGCCAAGGCTCCCTTCTCTCGCTGTGCTCAGTGGCCCTTATGAAGCTTCACAGAAGTGGAGGCCAAGCTGATGCTCTCCCGGCAGCTTGTGGTCTACAGGGTTGAGTAAATACTTACTCATTAGACTGTCATCAGCATGACTCAGCCCCAAGGAGGGAGGGAGCGAATCCTTCCTCAAGGATGAAAAGCACTCAGTCAGTGCAGCATCCTCCACGTCTGTATATACAAGAGGAAGGTTTCCATTGCTCAATCACTTTTTCTGGTGGCTAAATGTTTCAGCAATTACCTAAACTTGCTAAGGACCGCAGCAAACCCTCTTGCAACCTTCTCTTCTTGGAATCTCTTTTGGGTTCGTGGTCTGCCTGCTGGGTTTGTTTTCCTGCCTCTTCCCATCTCCCTCCCAAGTACATGGGGAAAAAATAGTCATAATCACTGATGTTTTATTCCATGTCCTGCTGTACAAAAAAAAAAAAAGCAAAACAAGAGCCCTTGCAAATAATTAAAAAAAAAAGGGGGGGTGGATGGTGGTGAGGAGAAGAAAAAACAAGGAGAAAGAAAAGAAAAAGAGAAAGAAATGCGCAGTCCTAATTTTAAAAGCTGGAAGCTTCCAGCCACCATTCCATAAAGTAACTTCAGGCCCCTTTCAAACAACAGGTGCAAAGAGGCGTAATAGATAAGAGGTCTGCTACCCCTTCACTCTACTTTCATGGATGGAGATAAACTTACTTCGATAGGGACAGCTGTTGGAGGCACAGGAGTGTACTGGGGAATGTAGGTCCCTTGCATAGGTGCAGCAGCAGTCATGTACTAGAACAAATCAAAGGCAAATGAACATTAGAAAACCACAGTCAAGATGCGTAAAACCATATTAGAAGCATGACGCTGTTCAGAGCTCTTTGGTTAGTGTATAGCTTATTATTTCTTTTAATTAAGGATTTTAGGCAATGGTAGGAATTACCTAGCTATTAAAAATCATAATCTTGAACTTCAAAGTCAGGTCATATCTGAATATATGCAATAGCAAACATCTTGCTGATAGATTCAGACTGTTCACATGGCTTCTGAAATTGAGAGACTCCTACTTCCTTAAAAACCAGTAGAGACACAATAGCAGCATATATATAGTAGTTACAAATACAAACACAGTCTAAACAATCTTTTGAAGTCTTATTGATCTTATCTAATGACACATACAAAAAATGAAGCATGAAATTTGACAGGTTTATTCCAGTCTATATTTAACCCTATCAACAACAGCAGCTGAGTTTACAGGGATACAAAGCTGCAGGGAGGTGCAATCCAAGACAGGAAAAATAAAGGAAGAGGAAGATGTATCTGGGAGTTTCTCCTTTTGTACACAAAATCCCTAGCTAATTCTCATGGCCTATTCTTAATATCCAGGGATCTTTTCTATGCATTTTGAAACTTCTGCAAATCATTATTATAGCAACACTTTGTATTAGTTTCTCTAAAATACTGTCTCTCCCAAGCACTACAAGACAATCTTTTTAAAAATTCAGGAATGCATGTGCATTTTACTATTGGTATGGCACTTATGTCTTTATATACAGCACTTCTTAAAAAGCTCTTGAACTGAAAGCAACAAATATTGTTCAAACCTTCAAATAAAGTATCAATATTAAGTCATCAGATCTATATGTACTTTTCTTTCTACAATCCAGTCCTAACTGCATGTCTTCACTGACAAGAATCTCAGAATGTGCCCAATCCCACAACTACTGACTGTGTGACACTTCCACTACACGTTATCTTCAAAGACACACCGAAGATCTGAATCAGCCCAGAATGTATTTGATGAATTTTAAAATGAGTTAAATATAGCTTTGCTTCCTGGCAGAGCTAGGAAGTGCTTGCAAGATTTTATTCTGCTGTTTATAGTAAAATTTACATTTAAAGCACTCTCTCACCTCAATTCTAAACTGACTGGATGGTTTGATATGCCTGTCACAAACATGCATTATGAAATTGCATAGTGGGGTGCAGAGTCTGCAGCAATGCTGGAGAAAGGCCTTAGGGAATGAGAATGGCATATTTAAGAATCCCACAGCTAAATTCTGAAGTCTTCATTCAAGTAGAAGAAAAAAAATTACTTAAATGAAATTGTTTTCTATAGAAGAAAAAATCAGTGAGGAACATACGTGACATAGAATGTATACTTGCAATATGAGTAATGCATTGTGTTGAAAACCATTACAATATTTTTGCTAAAATGTACAGTGTTTTCCTTAACTTGAGCAAAGAGACAGGACTGTCCCCAGTGTCTGTGTGCCTGTATCAGGCCATGTTTTTCTGCAGCTCCTTTTCCTTGTTCTTCAGAAAGAGAATTGAATTCAATAGTTTTTTTATGAATGCTAACCCACCAAAGACATTAGGCCAACTATCCCTATTGTACTCAGTACAGTTGGGCTATTCTCCTGCCTTACGGATTAGGAGCTAATGAGAATGTTACAGCAGGGTGTTCCAGAGCTGCTTCCGCTTCATTCATTCTGCTTTGTAATGTTGCCGTCACATGTTGGGACGACAGCTGCTGGGTAGCATTGTTCTAAATGTGTCAATATTTAACATTAACCTGAAGCACTCATTCTTCTAGTTCTGCAAAGACCTACGAGGGTTTTAAACACCTATGCAGGCTAGCTTCACTTGGACAAATATATACAGATTTTAATTAAAAGCATTAATTTAAAGAATAAAGTGGCTTCATTCAGCTTGGACTTCCTCCAAGTTCTTCCCTGAACTCAGCAGATCAACACTCAGACTCTTATAAGACGCCATTGTCTGCCATTCTCTTACCTTACATAAAAACACAAATGAGTTTTAATACACAAATATCACATTATTCAACTGTCTTTTAATTCAGATCACTCCACTTTTTAAAAAATCCTTTGGCATTGAGTTCTGTAGCACAACTGAAACTGTCTGGGAATTAATTGGTGCCTTTCTTTGCTGACTCTGTAAGCGCCGCTCTCGTGCAGTTTCTTAGCTCTATTGTTACTGTTTTCCTCTTGAGGCAGATCATGATCTTACTTGTCAGAGTACTTCACGTTGCTTCCTTCACTGCTACGCAATCTCTAGGGGAAACTGTTCTGTTGACTTGAGTGTGACTGGTGGCCCGGGCTAACCCTTGCTTGCCCTGGTCTTTCCAGACACTCACACCTCCCCATACTTTCCCAGTTTAATTTTTTTTGCAAGAATTTTAACTGAATTCAGCCAAACAGCAGGTGATTTACAGTGCTGGAGACCAAAGCTGTCTAGTTACTTTCCAGATTCCCTGAAGAACTGTAGGAATGTGACTTCTCCCCTGTATGTAACATATTCTGCTTGTCTAAACGTCCACCGTAATGGTGGTTCAACTTTTTGGTTAAATCATTTAGAGCTCTACAATTGAAACAAATGATGTGAGCCAAATTAGTTCCACCAATGGCATAAATGAAGTCAGTTTTTGTGGCAAAGAATTTGGTCCTAGTAGAAGTTAGCCAAGGCTCAATCCCACAGAGTACTACTGCTTAACTATTGGGCCTTGAGCACACAGCAGCAGGCTGGTCTGTATTACAGGTACACACATTGTGCCCTTCAGTGGAATATCCAAACATATTTAATGTACTCATCTTTATGAATGTAAAGATACCCTCATCATTTCAGACAAGAGTAACCAGGTCAACAATTAAACAAGTTATCAGGGCTTGGAACTGACTCTCAGTCTCCAGACTCTCACTTAAGGATCCATTGAGGCTTCTGTAAAAAACTTTATAAAACTATAAGACAACTAGGGCTTAGTCCTCAGAGATACACACTTGGACTTAAGTATCTAAAGTCCCCTCACATGCACAGGGAGTCCCAGCTGAGACCACATGAATTCAGGAGTGCCTGTCCTGCTGGATCAGTTTTCACCATGGGAAGCCTAGTGCTGAGAAGCTGCTTTAGTTTAGTTTACTAACAGTATAATGAAAAAGGAGGACAGATTAATTTTTGTTATAACTGACATTAGCTCAAGCAAGTTCGCATGTATTTCTTTCCTTTATGAACTACATAATCCTACCTCTCTGATCTCACAGGATAAATACATTGAAGATTACATAGTGCTAAGGCACAATGTCAGTGTCAATACTCAACATCAATGGCATTGGATAATGCAAAAGTTGAATATCTGGTCATGGATATTCACAGCTGATTGTTAGCAGAAAGCTTCCTGAACACTGCTTTTCAGTAGCTTCCATACCCAGCACACACTGAGCCCATTGGAGTCTACGTCTCTCCCTGGATCCCCCAGACACTTTACCTAGCTGTTCTGTAAAACAGTGTGCGTTGGATGTGCTGGAGTAAGTGCTGCCCATGCTGGGAGGTGGAAAAGAGCTTCAGAAAGAATTGTGAGATTCAGAAGAAAAGTTAAACATTTTATATCTGCTGTGGTTAGGACCACCCAGGATGAAGATTCTGCTCTAAGGACATCCCTTAGCTGAGGGACTCAGTAGTGATGCAACTCCATGGGGACCACAGGTCCTGTAGATGTACATAGTCTGCACATGGCTTCCCACCTATCTAAGGAAACTAATGTAACTTGCAAGTAGGCAGATGGCAAAGACAGACATCTCTGTCAGAAGACCATCACTGACATTTATTCTCTCCATGAACCACACTCACTAAAGTTCCTTATCCACATGTACATGTGAGAGACAGCATGACTTACATGCTCAGCTTAGCAGTACCCAGCTAATTCCACTAAATATAAGTATTGCAAGCACTGAAATGAGAGAATCTGAAAAATCCAAATCCATTCTTTCTTTGCCATATGTTTGCATCAAGATTAAAGATTCTTGAGCTGTAATGTGATCAGCCATTCAACAAAGTATGTGCAAGGCAGAAGAAAACACTGTTCATTCTTGTACAACTGTACAGGCTTTGTGGGTCTAAAAGTAGAGGCTGCTTATTTCTGACAGTAAAATGAATAGTGACTCTACAGGCAGAGATGATGGATCTGGAGGGTATAAGGGAGCTTTTTTGGCACTCTGAACCTTTAAAAGCTGGTAATTTCTACTACAGAAAAAAAAAAAAAGAGACATTGCTGGTGGCACCATGCTCTTAATTTGTTTGTAAACTATTATTTTCTTCATACAGTATACAGAATACATGTTCTCAGCACTGAGGATGTGCAGTATTATAATATAATGCATGCTTTACAATGCCTGACTGCTTAGTTCAGACTGCATTTATCAGGGCACCAGTTTAGCCTACACGCTACATTAATAATTCCACTCACACCTTGTCCAATGGGATTTTTGTTTTTACGTTTTTGAAACTGCTTAAGCATGTGAAAAAATATGTAGCTAGAAAATGAGAGAGTAGCAATATACACTTACACCTCTGCTCTCCTTTCAGGTATTAACCTCCGTGACTACAAAGAGTTAAACGAAAGGAGGTAACAAATGAGGAGGTCGGTTGAGGGGACAAAATGAAACTGTGAGAAGGATCATGTTTAATTCAGAGAGCAACATCAGTTCCCACAGATCTGCAAACAGTGAGGTAACCCAGCCTGGCTTCAGCAAGACTCATGTTAAGCCTGCAGCAAACACTAAACCCATAAAGGTGGAAGGCATCAGGGAGAAAAAAACAGGAGGAAGGCAGCTGCCTGCACCAAGCAGAGCGAGGGAGCGTGTTGCAGTAGGATAACACGTTTCACCCGTCAAAGGCAGAGCTGAGTGACCTGCAGGGAATTTGCAGGAGCTTTTATATCAAGAATATGGCACAGGTACTGTCCATTTATTCATTTGCCCTAGTCTGCTTCTGGCCTG